GTTATGTTAATGTGTGTATGCAATTTAATAGTAGTTTAAAACCTATACATGCTTATGTTACTCTACAAGAAGATATGTCAAAGAAATAATCTTCCCATGTTTTCTTCTGTCTGCTACTTCTATAGCTTTTCTTCTTCCTTCCTAATTACAACCCTTTAGTAGAATTTGTGCCTCATATCGAAAATTACTGAGTATCATAATTCTTCCAAGTGGTAAAGATGCCTCAAGACAAATGCTGGGCATAGAAGCCACAGGGCATAAATCTGCAAAGAAGTAAAAAGCTAACTTTTTCAAAGAATATTGCTTCTCTCTCACTTACCAACTTAACATTTCCCTGTATGGCCCCGGAAGATGACTGGTTAGCCAGAGACGGGTAAGATTCCTCAAGGGAGGAACAACCTAAGACAGGCACAGTCACAGGGGGGCCATCAGGTGAGAAATTGGGGATCAACAGAGATGAGGCTTAGAACCTCACCCCCCCTGTTTTGAGAGAAATCTTCTGCATCCGTGGATGTTCTGTTGCCCTTGTCTAGCTTGGATTAATACTTAGTCTATACACACAGACCTGATCATCTACATTTGCCCTCTTTACAGCACTAAATTATGTTTTCTACCTTTATCTTGCATCTACCTACCACTTCAGCATTTTATTTAAAAATAATAATAATAATAATAAGGGAGAAATGTGGGATTCACATATAAATCAAGTATAAAAATCAAACAAATAATCAAAAAAAAAGACAAAAAGAACAGGACAAACTTATGGAGTAATTAATAAAGAGAAAATGCCTTGTTAGGTTGTCATAACTAATCTTAACTACTGAGTAACTATATTTATTTTAAAGAAACTTAAAGAAATTTGGCCACTGAAATTAACAAGAATTTGTCTACATTTTAAGAGCATTTCCCTCTACGGGAATTTTCAGGAACAAATTACCTTCAGGAGGTAGAAGGCTGCACATGGAGAGAACTTAGAATGAGTTCTGAAACATAGTAAGCAATCAATAAAAGTCTACTCTTGTGTTAGCTATCTCCCTAGATCAGTCTTCACCTAAGAAAACCACTCACGATGCACTAATTCCTGGAGTCCCAGAGCACCTCAAAGTATCATTACACAAAGTTTTATAATAACACCAGGGTGATAAGTCAGTAGTAAAGATGGAACCTACAATGAGAACCATTAATGAGAGTGAACAGAAAGAGAAAATTAAGGATTTTGCTATTACAAGAAAGGGCCCTTGAAAAGCCCCTGTCATTTTGGAGGAATGCAATTTGTAAACCTTATGCAATTAATGAACCATATGTAATTAAAATTATGCTGGAGTTCTACAGCAATGTGTTGTAAAGCAGTCTAAGGATCTGCAAATAAACCACACTAGGCACTTGTTATAAGTTTAGATTCTTGGACTGTGGGATTTTACTATTTTATAGAGTATCCCAGATAATTCTAAAACTCATTAAAATTTTTAAAAAACACTGCTAGACAGGTGTCTGGAACTATTTCTAGAAACAGTAGTTCTCAATAGGAGGTAGAAATTATCAGTCAGTTGGGAAACTTGTCCAAATTACATACCCACTCTCAGTCCAACCAAGGAAAAAAAGGATTGGAAAGGAGTCTTGTGTGTTTTGTAAAAGCACAAGTATTGATCACTGGGGGAATTTCTTTGCCCCAGTATTAATTACTGGGGCAATGAAATTTAAGAAGTTTAGCACTTCAGTGAAATTAAGAGAAAACACGGTCCACAGATCCAGAAAATCACATCCTTGCCTTGTAGTAAAAGCTTCCTAGCTAGATACTGCAAACCTTCACAACTGTAACAAAAACTGAAAGGCCAACATTTCTTTTCACCTCATCTGCACTAGGGTCACCTCTTCTCACATACAACAGAGAAATCAGCTACTCATTGTATACAACACAGGGATAGGCTGGATCTTCTAAGGTGTAGTCCATTTGTGGCATAGTATGTATTTGTGATTCAGACAAAACTCTTGTTGGTCTCTGGCAAGTAAGAAGTATCTTCCACTGGGGGGAAAAAAACACTGAAATATCTTGTTTCTTAAATGTTTCTTTGAGAAATGATGGGAATTATGAAAATAACTTAGAAAAACAGTAATAGAATTGAGAGTGATCATATGTATGTGTGTGGCATAAGAATGAGGGGACAGAAAGAAGGGGTAACACACTCCAAGCAAACTTTAAAAGCAGTATCTAGCTTGTTTGGAATTAATTATAAATCTTCTACACGTATGATCAAAGTGAAAGAAAAAGGAAATAAAGCAAAGAGAAAGTGCTGATATGTGTGCCAGTACTACTGTAACTGTGCTGGGCCCTGGCCTATCCCCATTACCAGAAATATCATCAAGTGTCCATCATCATGAAGCCCATGAGCATAATCATATATGATAATCAGAAGAGATATGGCTATCAAACCTACCCAGTAGGAACTCAGTATGTGTGCAAACTAAGGAACTTTGTACCAAAGAAGAGGAGCAGAAGAAGGAAATCAACCATAAGAGAAAAATTAAAAGAGACAACAAACCTTTATGTGTCTAACATTCTAAAAGTTCTAACATTTGATTCTAATAAAACATACCATCACTGGGCACAGATAGTTCCCACTGTGGCTAACCTTAATGCTTGGCTATATAGTCTCAGTTAGTATCAAAATAATAAAGTTGCGATCATTTGAAAATACAACTAAAAATACACATTAAAAATTAAATAAACTTAAATTTTACTCATTTCAACCCATCCCTAATTCAATACTTGCTCTTTCTTTTTATCACTGTCCTTTTCAAAACAGATATTAAGATATGTATATTTGTATATGAACAGGTTTTTACATTTTTACAGACAGACATACTCAATTTTTAATTGCAGATTCACATTTGCTGGATTATCCAACACAAACATGAGTTACGGTATGCTATGAGTCTCTACAGTTTAGTACACACTGTGAATTTTTTGTTATCAAAGACTGCCCCCTGCAGACACTTACATCTCCAACCTTAAGAACCAACAGAGAGCCAAAAGGAACTAGGAGAGTAGGAATCACTAATTCACCAATCTCCTCATTCAGGCCTATCACAGCACTCCTGAGAAAAGCCACTCTCACTCAAAAAGCGATCATTATCGCTTTTGAAATAAGGCTCATTTTGAAAATAAAACCACCGTATCCTGACATGCATCAGTTGTCAGTTTCCTTGAGCTTTTTGTAAAAATAACTCTTATACCTTTCCTCTCTCATCCTCTCTCCTGCACACACACATACACACAAGGATAGGAAAATGCACTTCCAAAAAAAAGGAACAGAGAACAAAAGAGCAGAAGTAGGACTTCACTTTATACTTCATGTATGTCAGAATTGTTTAAATTCTTTTTGAAGAGTAGATATGTTTTATAATTAAATTTTTAGAAATAAAAGTTTTAAAAGAAAATATAGGAAAATCTTTATAACCTTGGGATGTGATTGGGTTTCTTTAAAAAAAAAAGTCACTATCTTAAAAGATTAGCAAAATTGAGAAGAGTAATTATATAACTGCAATAAAACTAAGACCATCTATTTACCAAGAGACAGTGTAAAGAAAGTGAAAAGTTGCCAAATGGAAGAAAAGATTTGTAACACATATAACTGAAAAAAACTATCTTAAAAATACTTCTAAATTAATAAAAGAGAAAACAATGAAACAGGACAATGGGCAAAAGATTAGAACAGGCACTTGTTCAAAAGAGGAAAGCTGGATGGCTTAGCAGGAGGTAAATCAGGATTTGTCTTACTAGAACTCTTTATTCTTTATATGCTATAATTCTTTTGTACAGTCATTAGTTAATGAATAATTTTAACAAAAATTTTCAAATTAAAAAAAAGAAGAAACAAGATGATTTCTTTAATAAAGCTGGTACCTTTTACACTGGGTCTAATGTAAGATGCCAGATTGAGCGCCCCTGGATTCTCAAGCAGTGTCCTGGCTGCTCCTTCTAATCCCAACTGCTTTGCTCTCTGGGCTTTGGTGCCTTTGCTCCCTGTTTTATATGGAGCTGACTAGGAAAAAAAGTCAGAAACACACCAAATCACTCAGTTTTAAAAAACAAAAGTTAAAAGTAGGACACAAAATTAGAAGACACAGTGGGAATACTAAAAACATCCTTTTCTCAACCCTATGCTCTTCCTTCAGAGACAAATTAATACTAACTAAAGAATACTAGCTGTATGTAGGTAGTTGTTCCTTATGTGATTCTTTATTCTCTTCTACATGCTTAAAATTAGTTATTTGGTTGGATTGACTCACCTTAAAATATCACTGCCTGGGCTGCAAGAACTAAAAGGTTCTCTCTCAACTCAAGCAAGCTCCTTGAAATGCTGTCCACACACAATGTTTCTACTTCTTAACCCACATTCACTCCTCAACCTGCCACTATTTGGTTCTCTTCCCACACACCTTGCTGAAAGTGGTATCACAAAGATTCACAATGACCCCTTAATTACCAAATATCCATTTTTTTTCAGTCTCTATCTTGCCAAACCTTTCTGCTATATTTAATTACTTAACTATTGATCACTGCCTCCTTCTATTAAGATTCTCTCTCCCCCTATCTCTTCCATGGTATCATCTACTCCTGATTCTCCTCATACTTCTGACTAGTCTTTCCATGTCTCCTTGTTAGGCTCTCCCTTCCTCTACCCACGCTTCAAAAGTCGGTGTTTCTCAGTGGTCTATCCTGACCTGGTTACCCCACAAACTATCCTTGGGTGAAATCTTCCATTCTCATGATTTCAAATACCAACTACATGCTGAAGACCTCACAACTAAGTTTCCAGTTTAGCCCTCTTCCTGAAGCTTCACACTTCTATAACCTATTCTCTTTTCCCCCCACTCAACTAGGAATTCCTTGAAGACAAGGACTATGCATTATTCACTTTGGTAAGCCCAAGTGCCTAGCACAAAAAAGCACTTGGTAAATATTTGTTAAATAAAGAATAAATATTTTGTTGAATTAAGTAACAGTGGCTGAGTGCGGGCTTTTAGCTTTTTACTTCCAGGTCTTCTTTATCTCTAAAAAGACCCAGATCATAATATACTTAGGTAGTTATTACATTAAAAGATAAAAAGGGTTCCTTACCACATGTTCTAGCTCTTCAAAAGTTTTGCAGTTCAGCAAGGCTTTTAATAAGCACTCAGACATTTTCCCCTCCTTCTTAATTTTTTGGATTGTATTATGAACCTTCTTTGCAACAACCCTGAAAAATAAAAATTGTTATAATATACAAGATCTATATGCCAGAACTTTCTTTCTGAAGCTATTTCAAACTTACAGAAAAGTTGAAGGGAAGGTAAAAAGTTTTCCCCCCCTCTAAACCATGTGAGAAATTATCATCACCCTCAAATACTTCCGTGCACATTTTTTATAAACAAGAACAGTCTTTTACATAATAATATGATCATCAAAATCAGGTAACTAATACTGATACATTACTGCAGTTTAATCCACACACTTCATTTATGTTTCACTGTTCCAATAATGTTCTTGATAGTGAATTCAGTTAAGAATGGGTTATATGTAATTGACATATGTCTATAGTCACCTTAAAGCTAATGTATTTGTCCTTGATTTTCAAAACCTTGATACTTTAGAATGTCACAGGCTAGTTATCTTGCAGTATGTTTGAATTTTTCTGTTGTTTCCTCACAATTTGAATTAGATGGTTCATCTTTGGCAAGAGTATTATAGAAGTGATTCCATGTTCTTATCACTGCATCCTATTAGTGATAAGTGGCAAATGATTTTCATTTGTAGCATTACTAACCAACTGTGATCATCTGGTAGTGCCAGTGGGTTTCTCCATAATACAGGTGCTCTTTATTTCCTTCACAGTTAAGTATTTTGTGGTGGGGTAATTTGCAGCTATTTAGTTATTCCATTCCTCATTAAACTTCAATTTATTCACTGATTTATTTATATCACCATAGACTCATGGTTCCTTATTTTCAGTAGTTTGTAATCCACTACTAACACTTATTTTGATGCTCAAGTTGTCCCAAATTGGCACAGGTAACCCTGTCAAGCTAGTTTCTATGTGCTTTGGGCATATCCCCATCATTCTTGGAGCAGTTCCTTATTCTCTGGCAAAAGAGATTTCAGGCTCATCTTTTACTTCCCCTGCCCAGCCCTGGAGTCAGACAAACAGTACACAGAAACCATGTTATGGGTGCTAGATGTTCATCACTACTGTGTATCACCACTCAGGATTAGCGCACTTAGTACCCACAATTGGTTTCTAAATACCATTCTCCACTAGAAAGAACCAGGATTCCACAGAGAAAAGCTGATTCCAGGAGTTAATGTACAGGGATTAATGCACAGGTAGAAGCAAGGGCACAGTTGCTGCACCACTTTACAATGATTTTTCACTGTGAATACACAATCCTATTATATTTTATGCTCCTCATCCTATTTCATTACCTGTATTATTTTTAGGATCACCTTAATAATGGTATTACTGAATTGATGGACTAAAGTTAGAGAGATGATAACATGATTAAAAATGACTCATGGAAAAGAAGATTTAAAGTACTTCTGAAAGAAAAACTGAGGCAGAAGATTATAAATAAAAGAGAAAGCATATGCAACCCTTAGATTACCACTTGTGTGTCTTTTACATTCCTGGCAGCCTAAGACTGTTTTCAGGGGCTGAAACCCATCAGGGTCATTTTGACAAAAGGCCAGTGTCACAGTGGCCTGCATATAAGGAAGAGGGGAGGTATCTTTAGAGAAAACACAGGAAGATTTTCTTCCTACCATAATCATACTCTAACTCACTTTTTTAACAGTGACCCTCAGTAAGAAATATATGTTTCCTTGCAACCCAGTATATATTTACATATATATATATATATAGTTTCACATCTAATAGTTACATAAGCATATACTATAAATATATATGTTATATAAACATCTGATAAACAGTTTCATGAAACAATATTTACCTTTACCACATAAACTGCACTCTTATATTTTCTATTCTCTATTTCATTTTTGTTAAAGTGGTAATAATCTATTAAATTAGTTTCACCACTCATTTATGGCTAATAATTAATAGACTGAAAACTAATGCTCTACTTACAGAAAATGCTGAGCCTAAGAAAAAATAGAGACCATATTTCATTACCGAAAAGAAAACTCTGTAGGATATAAAAAGATCTTATAAGCCCCAGTCAATACTCCTAGTTTCTTGGAGAAATATTCCTCTACTAACATTCAATGTATTCCTCTATTAATAAATATTCAGAGAATTAACTCTTGCAGTAGAAATGTTTTTATAGAAAAAAATAATAGTAATCTTGACATAGAGCTTCTACTTCCCCCCATACAACTGAATATTGTTAGAATACCTTTAATTTTTTTAAGTAAAATATTCTTATTTGTAATACTTCCACCAATTTCAAATTCCAGAAACCTCAAATTCTCTTTATTACTTTGCCTTTAACCAAAGAGAAAAAAGCCTACTTTAGAATTTGCAAACTGCTGGTGTTCTAGATGTGGTCTGTAGATAGTTTAGTTCAGCCCAGAAATTTTTACATAAAAACTCAGATCAATAGCTTCTTTTCAACAAGATTATCTAGCAAACTGGGTTGACAGCACTGCATGTTAAGTAATCTGCTGGAGATAAGTAGAGGCTGCCTCTTAGGCAGGACTTAATGAAGTCCAGTTCGTATTCCTTGGTCCTTGGATTACACTAGCCTAGCCTTGGAAACTCTGAATCTGAGACCACTTGTTTAACTAGTCATCTATACTTCTAAGTTGGCTAATTGATTTTGCCTCTCAATGAAATATAACTCTCTACATATTAGTATTTTAATCCCCCTGGCACAAAAAAGAACTTCAACAAAAGGGATAGAAATGTTAGTGAGATACAAGCTCCCCCCAAATCACAGGAAGCTTATTAGACTTATTGAAAAAATAAGCCTTGGTATTTTTAGAATAGTGTGATGGTAAAAGTACATCCAATTTTAATCAGATTCCTCTTGTAGATTTGAAGAACCCACACATTAACAATATAGCACCTGGCATGTAGAAGACATGTAATAAATGCATGAATGGTGAGGTGTTTTAATAAATGCTACTGAGTAATATAATTATAGTATCTTATAGTCTTTACATATTATTTGAGTTATTACAATAAGTTCAGAGGAATAAATTTTTTAAACGTGTTTTCCATTCTATATATACACAAAATTTATAATTCACTGATATTAAATTACCATGCCCTTCCAAAGAAAAGAAAAATGAAATATACATATTTCCTACCAAACTCTATATTGCCAAAGAACTCATTCAGAGATTTTATAATATTAAGGGGATGACTTTACATAAGCAACTGAAGATTTAGACTAAAATTTTATTTTTCTGAGCTTCCTGCTGGTAATCCTAATTTTGCCACTATGCAAAATCATTTTTATGAGAGAAGATGATAGTCAAACTCTCAGGCACACACTTTTAATGCAAACCACCTTTTTGCCCAGATATGTCCAAGCTATGCATAAACACACCAGCAGAGGGACTCTGCACACCCCTTAAGTAAGTAAAATGGAGCTGACTTCCTGTCAGAGGGGGACTATAACCAGATCACAATAATTCAAGAAAACAAAACATTGGAACTATTACAATATATTCTCATTCACTTCCTCACTCCTCCTCATCCGCCTATACACCCTTTCCTCACACTAGGCTCATCTTTTTCCAGGTTTCTTACCGTAGCTCTTCTAGGGTCTGTCGAACTTCTCTCAAGGCATCAGCGTCAAGGTTATTAATAAGCTCTTTTCGATAACGTATTATGAAGGGAATTGTGTTATCATCATTAAAGAGACGAATAATGTTTGCACAAACCCAAAGTTCAATATTAGTTCTCTCAGATAATACCTGCAAATTAAGGATACTAAAGTGATTTTAAATCCTGAAAATTAAACATCAGTATTATAATGTATGGTTTAAAATAGAGCACCAAATAATGTTCTCCAGTGACTTAGAAACTACTTGCTGTGGTTTAAAAAAGAAAAGAGAACTATATAAATACATGTATGTGTTGAAAATCACAAAATAGTCACTTCACTAGTTGAATAAAATCTAATTGAAACCACTCTGGACCATGCAAATTCTACAGGGCTCAATGAGATATACCTTTTTCATCTCTCATACTAGCAACAAAGATCAATTAGTTGGTAACTCACCGCGCTGGCATGAATGACAGGAAAAAGCATTTTCAATCACTGCTAGTGGGAAAGCAAATAGTGTAACCTCTGGAAGAAGAACAATTTGGCAATATTTATCAAAATTTCCATTACAAAAACTCTTTGACTAGGCAATTCCACTCCCAGGAATTTATCCTGAATATATTCATACCTCTGGAAATGATATTATTTGTAGTGATATTTTTTGAAGAACTCTTCTCATATAGTAAGTCAGTAAGAACCTAAGTCTAAAATAGGGAACTGGTAAATAAATTATGATCTGACCATAGAGTAGAACACCATTCAACTCCCCTTATACAAACAAATATGGAATTATTCACAAGATATGGGAACATGGCTAACCTTCGGGAAAAGTAGTTGGTTTGTTGAGAGTTAAGACAGGAAGACCTTTTCGTATCTTTTGAATTTTGTGTCATGCATATATACTACATATTCAAAATAATTTGTATTTTTTTAAAGTTTACAGGGTTCAACAAAATGCACATATGAACAGAAAACTTTAGAGAAGTCAACCTGGTATACAGAAAGAATAAAATGCAACTTCAGCAGTTGTTCTCAAAACCTAAGCAGATTTTTCAAAGCACAAAAGGCATAAGTTTTATTATTATTTCAATTGTTGACACCTAAGATCTACCAAAATGGAAGAAAAAAAAACAGAAAAATTACTAAAAACAATCATAATCAACCAATTAACAAAATCAAATCATTATGTAAAGTAGATTGAATTTGAAAACTAAATGGCTGAACACCAGAGACTATCAAGAGTACTCTCCTTCCCGAGGGCATCTAAATCTTGAGGCCCACATCTTACCACCTATTCTGATGGATTAATACCAATGTCATCTTTTCTCCAGCCCTGGCTCTCTTCTACATGAGCTCTACACTCATGTAGCCAATTACCTCACATATTCTCTCAAAAACCTAATCAGCATCTCAAACTCTACATTTGCAAAGTGATTTTCCTCTCAAACTTATTCTTTCTCCAATTTTCCCCTTATTATGTCCTTTTAAACAGTAATTCAGCCAGAAAACTAGGCCTTTAATTCTTGTCTCCTTTAACTCTTAAATTCACTCCATCATAAGAACCAGTCAACTCTAATTGCAAAACATCCCTTTAGTCTATTACTACTCTTCTTCTGCACCTCAGTCTAGTTCAAGGTGGCATTGATGCAATAGCCTTTAACTCTTCTTCCTGCATCCACTCCAATTCTGTCTATTCAATCTCCATAAAGCAGTAAGAACTATCTTTTCAAAATGTATACTGGATTATGTCATTTGATTGATCATGTCACTGTGGTCAAAACCTTTCAAGATTTCCCACTGCATTTAGAATCCAAATGCCTTACCATGACCCAAAAAACACTGGCCTCTCTTGCCACAGTATCTCATCCACTCTTCTCATTAGAAGCCAACCCCAGTGGCTTTCGCTCAGTTGCTAGAACAAGTTCGGTTGTTTCCCTTTTCAGAGGCTGTTTCTTGAGGCTGCTCACTCATTCAGAAATGCTTCAGATACCTTCCCTGACTCCTACAAAGTCAAACTCAGCATTTTTTCCCTCAGTCACATAACAATTCCGTACCTCAACTCTCTTCTGATTTCCTATTCCAGTCAATACCATCTACCACAGAAACCTTGGGGATTTTGTGGTTATCTCCTCCAAAACCACCTTCTCATTATGTAGCACCTATATGGTTTGAGAACACTTGACCTCAATCTAACTCCACAGCATTTTATTCAGTAACCAGTTGTTTTAGAATTAACAACAGCTAGAATGTGCCCAGAGAGTAGTCCAGTCATCACGAACCTTGAGATTTGGGGTGGAACCCTGGACCCAGGTGCAATTTCCTCCACAACTGGAGAAATACAGTTTGTACATGTAGAATCTTTGAAGCTGAGGATAGTAGTGCTAAGATAATCACAGAAACACCATGTGAGTCCAATTAAACTTTCCTGTCACATAGGTCAATAAATCGTTTTTGCTTAAGCTAGTTCAAGATGGGTTTTCTCCTGCTGCATTCTAATCAATGCCCTCAGTACCACAGTGTGTTCTCTATCATGCCCATCTAATCTGTCACCAAGGAAGGAAACTGAACTTCTAAAATGTCTGCTCCTTCCCCTCAAGCTCCTTTTGTGCTATTATCTTCTATCTGAACCACAGAGCAATTTTTGTTCTCTATGCCTTCTACCCAACCTCTCTGCATTACTACTGATTATATCTCTAAGACACAGATATACTAAGTTCCTTATTTTTTCTCTTTTTCTTCTTTTGAACATAAGTTCCAATGACTCTTATCTACCTTCTGGCAGAAGTCCAACCACTGCAGCACAGTTTTTAAACCCCTTCCCAAGCTTGGTCCCAAACTTTACTGTCTTCAAGGAGTAAATAATCTCATCCACTTCAGTAAAATGTTAATGAAATAAGTACAAGTAAAAATGTGCCAGGGAACAAGTAGTATAACGTCTTCAGATAAGAGAAAGATCCCCTTTGGGTAATCAAAGAAGGTATGCTGCAGAAGTAACATTTCAGTTGGTCCTTAACAGACAGGCCAGATTCTGAAAGACAGACATTGAGAAATGAAAACAACCAACACGCTCATCGTGTCAGAACTGGATCATCGGCAGAGTGACCCAGAGTAACCCCACTGCCAAACCAGCTCAGCTACTGCTACCTGAAGGGGCCCAAGACAGCTAAAGTCAGACTCACAGCTGGATCATACCAGGTCCTAACAAATCCAGAAGCATCATATGTGGTAAGGGAGTTTGTTTTGCTACTCATGCAAATTTGCTTCTTGAAATTAAGGATAATAAAACTACATATAAGCAGTCCACTTTTGAGCCCCCAAATCATCCAATTTCTTTTTCTAAATTTAGTCCAACATTCTTTTTAGCTCATATCATACACCAATAACCATACCAAACCAGTGATAATCAAAATGTAAAGAAACAATTCTCTCTTCCCAGGGAATTTACAAGCTAGAAAGAAGAACAAGAAAACAGTTAAAACACAGTGTGCTCTGTACTCTGACAGATGCATATATAGATTATTTTAATGTTTTAAGGGGAGGAAGAAACATCTATTTCTGCAGCAATGGAAAAAGCAACAGGAGAATGAATGTATCTCCAGGCAGCCAAATGGGGCAGGAATTCCAGGAAGAAAGAAATGTACAAGAAATGCTAAAATGTACAAGGGGTGTTAAGATGAAGTTAAAAATGGAAAGGTGCATGAAGTACATGGTGAATTCTATAAAGAGTTTGAACTTCATCCTATACTCAATATTAAGCCACACAATGAATCATCTGCTCATTAGTTGGTTTCAGCTGTTGAGTCCACCCCTGCCCCCACCCCCGGTAAGTCCCCTTGACATTCTGCAAATCAGTGAGATCTGTGGACAAGAATAGTGGCTCACAATGTATAGTCCCCAAAGCAGCAGCATAAGCATCATCTGAGAACTTGTTAGAAATACAAATTCTTGAGCTTCATCCCAGATCCACTGAATCAGAAATTATGGGGTAGGGCTCAGAATTCTAGAAAAATGAAGCAAACAACAAAGAAGTAACTAAGAGTTCAAAGTAGAGATCAAACTTAAGGGACGGGTAGGAGTAAGGCAAAGAACTAATACAGTTTTTAATTTATTCACCCTTTTTATTTTAATAATTTTTAGAGTTAAATGGTGGATTGTAATAAAAGTAAATAGGAAGGCAGTCTAAAGATTTTTTTCACCTCCAAGCCTTAAAAAGAGGCATTGACTTGCTAATTGTTAATCGTTGTTAACATTGTCATTACTAATACCATACATACAGGGCTTATGTTATGGTGTAAAATACTAACAGCTAAATTATAGAAACAAAAAGGGCCAATACAATTTCTTTTACTTAAATCCCTCCTGGAATAAACAGGTTAACCAAATGGACAATATGTGCTTATGTGCAGATCTGCAGTGAGGAAGCCATTTCAGAGACTCTCACCTCCTTCCTGTCCCACTTCTTTCCCCAAGTTTGTCATCCCATTGTCATCTTTACCCATATAATCCCAGATCACCTCTTGCAAGAATGGGGAAAATGGCTAATAAAGAGATTTTTCCTTGCTCTTCCTCCCTAATTTAGTAAAATTTACTGAAACATTCCATACAGCTGCTCCACTTCCCTAGCACACCCACCTCAAAAGGAAGAGACTATGTATGAGCCACCACCACTTTGGAGCATTTAGTTTTCTCAAAAACTGCTTGTAGCTACTCACCTCTTCAAATTCTTATACAAGTCACAAATATTTGTATAATGAAATAATATACTTTAACAAAAACTAGTTTCTGATGGCAACCACACATTTGTAGTTCAGGGGAAAGAGCTGAAGAGTAGACTGCTTCTATCAAGGGATCCAGTGATATATTCCTGATTAGGATACAGACACAAAGTATGCTTATATGTAAAGTCTATAAATAAATTAAGTATTGGAAATGTAGTTTTCCCCTTCCAAACAAGAGAGTGATGTTCCTGAAAAAGCAGCAGACTTTTCAAGGTTGAGAAACACACCTTAAATGGAAAAAACAGAGGATCAAGGTGTCATGTTGGGCAAGATCCATGTGAAATAGCACACAAAATGCAGGAAATACAAATTACATTTCTCACATGTTCAATTAGTAATAATTAATAATTTCTACACAATTAATTCCCACTGACCATGCCTTACTAATGAGGTACTTTTCAGCATTTCATTGAATCTGGTCTCATTCACATATTTGAAGCCTTCTGACTCTCTGGCTTGGCATTGTTGACTTGCTCTTCTCAGGCCCACGTCCCCTAACACCTGCCACTGTTCTCAATGGTTTGGAAGCAGGAATGCAATGCTAAGATAAAATTATTCTCTCTCCTTTTTAGGGGAGAATTAAAAAGTATAGGAAAGGAAATACACAGATACCCCAAGAATTGTCTATAAATGTAACAAGGCTATACAAGGATGACTGCACCTGGTCAAATAAAAGAACCCAAACATGTGAATCACACCTAAAGTTTCCCAGGCAATTTCCCTAGACCCAGCTAGAAAATGCTAAGCTTACTAGTTGTCCTCAGGGTGCTCAGTAAAGGTGGCAGCTGTAACAGCCACTTCTCCCAGCTCACAAGGAAGGAATGTCAGATTCCGAGAATAGGCTTATTTGAGCTGTCAAAAATCACTTCCAATAAGGAGGAGGAGGAAAAAAATGCTTGGAATTGAAAGGAAAGACGAATACCCATATACACTAATGCTATGGCCAAAGGCTATAAATAGTTCCAGGACCTTAAAATGAGGTAATTTGCTTCTACTTGATATTCACAAACACAATGGACACGCTGCTCCCAGTTTATAAGTGCCGCTTTTACTGCTCTCTGCACTGCTGCCTCTCACCCTCTGGCAGCTGGGCACCTGTTCTCACCACACAGTTTTCCCTCCTCCCAAGCTAAAACTAATAGCAAATGAATTGGGGAGTTGTCATCTTTCACTGTACATACACTTTTTCTGTAAAGAAGCAGAGAAACCTGGTCCACCAAGAGAAAATAACAACTCAGATAGAGAAGCAACAGAAATGGGTTCCTCTGAAGAGGAAGGCAATACACAGGCCGTCCCAGACTGAGAAGTTGCATTAAGATCCAGCAGAGGTCCTGGGCTCTACAGCAGGGGAAAGAGTTCACAGCAGAACCACCGTGGGTCAGACAACAGGGAGGGAGTTCACCCCCCTCCACCCTTGGAGGCACTGCTATAATTAAGTCTGAAATATTCCCAGAGTTTGTTGGTGCAGACAAAAGGTTGAGCATCACTGTTTAAGAGTAACTCTTTGGGTCTTCTCTACCATCCCCAGAGCCAGCCAAAGAAACTGGGAGAAATCTGATATCCCCTGTAGGAAAAGATACAACTTTGGCAGCTCAAGTTGGAATTCAGATAGCATTTTCCTTTAAGAAACTGTTAGGCCTTGTTCATAATATATCATATCACACTATGAATTAAATAGTTGTACTGACGGCCAATGACCTAATCACTTGCACTGCTTTTAGAGGAAATACAGTCAAAGTTCAAAGCAAACACTTAATGAACTTATAAGGGCCCAACCTGTTGGTACAATGTCTATACAGAGCATGTTCACTAAAACACCATGGCAGAGACCTACCTTACCTTAGGTCAGCTCTTAGCTGAAGCCTGGTAATGACGATAAGCTATAATACAAAACAGCATACCCAGGAAAGGAACCAGTGGCCAAAGCCTCCAGGCATCATTGGCAAACTGGAAAGAGAATCAAAAACGCCAACCCTTTCCTTGGCCAGTGCCACCCCTACCCTAGTCATAAGAAAGGAATAGAATGAACTGAAGTGTCTGAAAAAGGCTGCACACACCTGTACTATGTCCCAATTCATTTCCACCTCCTCTTTAATATTGTTGGCATTTGCGAGACACCTGACAGGCTGGCCCTGAGGACATGCTTCGGTCTTCATTTTCTTTACAGGGGACTGACCAAATGTAAAGTCATCTTCACTCTCCTCCTTCTTGCATGCACTTTCCCACATGGTGCTTGTGGACGGTGTCTCTGCACAATTACCCCCATGCTCTAAGCAGCTGACTTTGTTGATTTCTTCATCAGCTTTCAGCTTTTTGGTCCTTGGAGCTGAAGATGACTGACCTGAATTTTTCCGTTTTGCCTTTGTTGTTTTTAGAGTCTGCACAGTATCCAATTTATCTTTTCTGTCTTCCAAATCAACATCAGCAATAGCCACAGAGCTATTCTGTAAAATCACAAAGAGAACACATAAGAATTACAAGATAAAAACCAACTGCCCTGGAATTCAACAATAAAAAACAAATTATTAATACACACAATAATTCAGAAGAATTTTGAGGAAATTATGTTGAGTGGAGGGGGAAAAAAGCCAATGTCAAGAAGTTACATACTGTATGATTATATTTACATAACACTCCTGCAAATATTAGGGATTACTAGGGGTCATATGTGGGGAGTGGCGGTGGGGAAATCAGAACGGAGGTGGGTGGGTAATAGCAAGAATCCTTGTGGTACTGGAACTGTTCTGTGTGAAGGACACACATACCTACACGTGAAAAAATTACACAGAGCTAAATGTATACATAAAGACATTTAAGTGAATACAAATAAAACTGGAGAAATCTAAGATCAGTGTATTTTGTTAATGTCGAACTCTCAGTTGTTATATTTTATCACAGTTTTTCAAGATGTTACCATTAGTAGAAATTGGATAAAGCGTACGTGATATCTCTCTGTATTATTTTTTTACAACTGCATGTAAATCTACAATTACCTAGAAATAAAGAATTTAATTTTTAAAATGAGTAAAGGACAGACACATGCCAGGAAAAAAACAAGATTTAAAACTTGCAATCAGAAGCCAACCCTTTATGGGAAGAAGTGTAACACTCGCGTGCTTATAAAACTCAACAGGCTAAGAGGTTACTAAAGGGAAAGGGGGTGGGGAGGGGGGCTGGGGAGGGAGGGAGAAGAGGATTATGGGGTATTATGATGCACACACATAATGTAGGGGGCACAGGGAAGGCAGTATAGCACAGAGAAGACAAGTAGTGACAATAACATCTTCCTACAGTGATGTACAGTGACTGCAATGGGGTGGGGGAGAGGCTTAATAATATAGGTGAATGTAGTAACCACAATGTTGCTCTTAAGAAACCTTCATAAGATTGTATATCAATGATACCTTAATAAAAAAAAACTCAACAGGCTACAAACACCTGCTACAAATTTATACAGAAAGAGAACAGAAAACACAGCACAACAGCAGGGTAGTGTCAGGCATTTTTCTTTAGTGGGAGTCTGCACAGCCGTCCACACAGGTGTTTAGGAGCTACTCTGCACCACAACCCACCCCCTCCCCACCCAAATGACAGCTCAGGTGTGAAGCAATAATACCTGGAACTCAATTTTGGCACTAGAACAGTGAATAAGATACAGACCCTGCCCATATGGAGTTTACTATACCACAAGCTAGCCAGTTCTCAGTTACTTAAGTGATGCAGATGGCATAAACTCCAACAAAAAAGAACAACTTCCAGACTAAATTTCAGTCAAAATTCAGTTTTCCTTTATATTCATAATCTCAGACCTCAAAATTGCACCAAAAATACAGTGAGCAGAGTACAAGGATTAGGTAGTGGTTCTCAACCCTGCCTACATGTATAAATCACCTGAGGAGCTTTCAGAAAATAATACCACTGATGCCCAGGCCCACCCCCAGAATTCTTCCCAGATTTAAGTAATCTGGAAAAGAGTCCCAGGCACTGGTATTTTTCAAGTTTCTCAGGTTGAGAGATCCTGATGAGAAGTTGTGACAAGGTTGCAAAATTGTGGCAGTGAGGGCACCTGAGCAAGTGAGCTGACAGCATAGAAAGTGATGAGATGGTGGTACAAAAGCAGTACGCAGAAGGAAATGTCAGCGGTAGCGCAGTTTCTGGTGATGACAAGATTCAGGTTGGCATCATGAGAGGGGTGGTGAAGGCAAAGAAGAAAAAGTCACTGGAAATGAGAAGGTCAAAGAAACAAGAACACAGGGCATTAGATGGCTCACCCCAGTGGAGGGGGGGAATCATTAAGAATAATGATACAAGATGGCAGAGAGGAAGATATGAAGCTGGAGCTGAAGTCTTCAATGAACGAACAGCAGTGGAATGCGGGTTGGCAAATACCAGTAACATGGACAGGAAGAGACTGAATGATGATTTTTGTCTACCATGTTTGCTAAAACATATTTTTTAATTATCAGGGGTCTATCAATTCTAGCTTCATCCAAAATAGGGTTTTCAGTTATTTTGTTCAGTGGTGGTTACAGCAGAGTTAAGTGACAAACCCAATGAAATGAAATCTTCTAACATGCTCTGTGTGCTTTCACTGAGCTATGGAACATGTGAAATTTGGCATTTTTGGAAGATATTCTAAAAACTCCCCAGAATGTCTCTTAATTGAGAGACTTTTTAATTTAAATTATTTTTCCTTTTAAAAAATACACATATACAAAGCATTACTGGAAGGATCAAGAAGTCACTGTAACAGGGGTTCTTAAGCTGTACGCTCTTGAGCTACACTTTTAAACTTAAGCATGTGTATATTTTAACCACTTTACTAAGGAGAGGGTTCATAACTTTCATCAGATTCTCAAAGAGTTTATGACCCCAGTACAAAAAACCATGCAACTAAGCGATATTTCCTGGGTGAGGCAATCTAGCTACTTTTAAATGCACCTGTGAAAAAAAACCTCTTAATTACACCAGTAAGATAGAAGCCAAAACTTTTGCAGCTACAGGTAAAGCCCATGCACCCACTAAAAGTGTGTTCAACGAAAAGCTTGCATGGAAAGGTGGTGAAAGAGAGGTAGTAGATAATAGGCCAAAAGATTGATTCAAAAGCCCTATTCATGGGCACAGCAAGATATAACGAAACATCCCCTACTGTACACAATAAATGTATCCCTGGAAAGTCAAGTATCCACTGCATATTAGAAGAATATTATTTAAAGTGTACTAGGGAAGCTGTTATTTAAAGGAATACCACAGTGAATGCTTCTGATAATGCAAAACTTTTTTGTGAAGAAATATAACATAATTTATTATTGTTTTTTTTAAAACCAGATTGCTGTGATTTTAAGTGTTTGCTTATGGCAAAACATATATATATATACCAGTTGATAAATATTCCTTCTTCTCCAACACAGTGGATTTGTTGGTGAATACTGTTAAGAGCTATGGCAGAAGACGCCATTGCCCTGAGGTTTTTGTCATTTACCTGCTTTGTCCTACTCCATGTAAGGAAGAAGGAGCATCACACACTAGGAAGTCAACAGCGTTCCCTCTGCCCAGCAAAAGCACCTACCAGCTCCTCCTTCACAGCCATGCCTTCTGAGTCACCACTGATCTGTAAGGTGTTCTTCTTCACCCGTGGCACCCTCTTTGGTTTGGATTCCTTGGGCACAGCCTGCTTACGGCTTCTGGGGACTTTCTTCTGGGGCTCCCAGGCACTGTCTTCCTTGTCATCTTCTTCAGAGGCAGATGATCTAGGAGTAAATTGACAGAAAAATTCCAAAGAAAAATGAAGCCAAATGTTAAAGGCAAAAAAGAGATATATGTTTCTTGGAAAAAGAATAAGGTAGGAGGAGTTTAATATAAAATGGACTGAAAACTGCTAGAACTAATAACTGAATTCAGCAAAGTTGCAGGATATGAAATTAATAAACAGACATCTGTTGCATTCCTGTATACTAACAAACTAACAGAAGGAGAAATCAGGAAAACAATTCCATTTACAACTGCATCAAAAAGAATAACTAATACCTAAGAATAAACCTAACCAAGGAGGTGAAAGACCTATACTCTGAAAACTATAAGACACTCATGAGAGAAATGAAAGAAGACACCAATAAATGGAAATATATCCTGTGCTCATGGATAGTAAGAATTAACATTGTCAAAATGGCCATCCTGCCTAAAGCAATCTACAGATTCAATCCAATCCCTGTCAAAATACCAACAGCGTTCTTCAACATACTAGAACAAAGAGTTCTAAAATTCACATGGAATCACAAATGACCCCAAATAGCCAAACCAATCCTGAGAAGGAAGAATAAAGCTGGGGGGATTACACTCCCCAACTTCAAGCTCTACTACAAAGCTACAGTAATCAAAACAACTTGGTACTGGCACAAGAACAGACTGATAGATCAATGGAATAGAATTGAGAGCCCAGATACAAACCCACACATACATGGCCAATTAATATATGATAAAGGAGCCATGGATATACAATGGGGAAAGGACAGCCTCTTCAACTGGTGCTGGCAAAACTGGATAGCTACATGTAAGAGAATGAAGCTGGATTTCTGTCTAACTCCAAAGACAAAAGTAAACTTGAAATGGATCAAAGACCTGAATGTAAGTCATGAAACCATAAAACTCATAGAAGAAAACATAGGCAAAACTCTCTTGAATATAAACATGAGCAACTTTTTCCTGAACACATCTCCTCAGTCAAGGGAAACAAAAGCAAAAATGAACAAATGGGACTACATTAAACTAAAAAGCTTCTGTACAGCAAAGGACACCATCAGCAGAACAAAAAGGCATCCCACAGTATGGGAGAATATATTCATAAACAACATATCTGACAAAGGGTTAACATCCAAAATATATAAAGAACTCACACACCTCAACACCCAAAAAGCAAATAACCCAATTAAAAAATGGATGGAGGATCTGAACATATACTTTTCCAAAGAAGAAATTCAGATGGACAACAGGCACATGAAAAGATGCTGCACATCACTAATCATTAGGGAAATGCAAATTAAAACCACAATGAGATATCACCTCACACCAGTTAGGATGGCCAACATCCAAATGCCTACGAACAACAAATGCTGGAGGATGTGGAGAAAGGGGAACCCTTCTACACTGTTGGTGGGAATGTACATTAGTTCAACCATTGTGGAAAGCAGTATGGAGGTTCCTCAAAAGACTAAAAATAGAAATACCATTTGACCCAGGAATTCCACTCCTAGGTATTTACCCAAAGAAAACAAGATCACAGATTAAAAAAGACATATGTATCCCTGTTTATCACAGCACTATTCACATCAGCCAAGATGTGGAAGGAACCTAACTGTCCATTGGCAGATGACTGGATAAAGAAGATGTGGTACACATACACAACGGAATATTATTCAACCATAAGAAGAAAACAAATCCTACCACTTCCAACAACCTGGATGGAGTTGAAGAGTATTATGCTCAGTGAAATGAGCCAGGTGGAGAAAGACAAGTATCAAATGATTTCACTCATTTGTGGAGTATAAGAACAAAGCAAAACTGAAGGAACAAAACAGCAACAAACTCACAGATTATAGGAAGGGACTAGCAGTTACCAAAGGGAAGGTGTGGGAAGGGTGGGTGGGGAGAGAGGGAGAAGGGGATTGAAGGGCATTATGATTGGCACACATGGTGTGTGTGTGGCTCACGGGAAAGGCAATATAGCATGGAGAAGACAAGTAGTGACCCTATAGCATCTTACTACGCTGATAGACAGTGACTGCAGTGAGATGTGAAGAGGGGACTTGATAGTATGGGTGAATGTAGTAACCACAGTGTTGCTCATGTGAAATCTTCATAAGATTGTATATCAATGATACCTTAATAAAAATTAATAAATAAATAAATTTAAAGAAGGACAACTGTTATCTATTTTTCTATCTATCTATTTATTTATTTATAAATAAAATGGAGTGATGTGAACACAGGCTATGAACAGATACTAAGAATTGAAACAAGAAAGTTAATCAGGGACCAAAGTAAAAATACCCCAATACACTATCAATCACAGGTTTTTCCATCTACCTCTGACCTTACAGACAAATACACTATACATACACTCAAAGACACATGGAATCACTTTAATTTCCTGGGTCAAGTCACACAGAGTCATTATGAGGTTTTCCATTTTAACACTGAAAAGTACTTAAATAATTCCCTAAGTGCTAATCAAATTCTTTTAATTATATTAAGTTACTCAAACCAGTGTAAGGAATGGGAAATGGCTCTAGGAAACACCCTAAATTACACCAAAAAGCCAACACCAAGACCCTTCCTCTGCTTTAATTAACCCATTTTTTTCCTTTTACAGAATGGATTTATTTCCTATTACACTGGATCAGGAGCAGCTGAAGTACTTTTCTAACAATCTAAGAATCAAACTCACAATAACAGCAGAGAAAAAGCAGCCATGTGAACTCTGCTAGAGGAATATAACACTCCTGCCAACCCAGTTAATTCCACTTCTACCCAAATAGAAAAGGCCAGTACTGGTAGGAAGGACAACCACCTCCTTCACTGAAACTAGTCAACAGGGATGTCTGGTTTTTTCAATGGTTTAAGTTCTGCCAGCAGGCAAAAACCTTATCACATGATTCTCTTCCAGTTTTCCCCAAATTCCTCTTTCCTTCACACCCAAAATCTAATCCATCAGCATATCTGGTCTACTCTATCTTTAAAGTATATCCCAAAATTAGACCACTTCTCACCACTTTCACTTCTAGGACCCCAGGGTTCTACAAAAATTTCTTTAACTGATCCCCCTGCTTTCACTCTTGCTCCACTGTTTCTGAAACCAGATGATCTTTTACAAATGTTATCCAGATCCTGTCACATACCTGGCCAAAACATTCCAGTAGCTTCCCAACCTGACTTCAAATAAAACCTTAACACCCTATCAAAGCTTATTAGATCCTACCCATTTCAATCTCACTTCTAATCCCTCTCTGCCTTAGGGATTCTGGCCACTCTAGTCTTTACTTTTCCCTAAACACACCAAGATCTTCCCTGCCACAGAGTCTTTGCACTTCTTGTTCTCTCTTCTTGGAACACACATCCCCCAGGTCTTTGAAAGATGCACTCACAAATCTCACTTAAATGTCTTGCTGCATCCTCTGAAGAACTGGGCTGAATACAGTACTCAAACTGTCTCGTGGCCAAATCCAGTCGCTGTGCTCTCTATCCCTTTTGTTACATACCCCACTCACTTAGCAAATCTTCAGTCTACCTACTGTAGTGCCCTGAAGCAGAGGTTCCCAACTAGAGACAATTCTGCCTCCACAGCAAGCATCTGGGAATGCCTGGAGACATTTTTGACTGTCATATCAGGACAGGGTTGGGGGTAATGCTACTGGAATTTAATAGGTAAAGACCAGGGACCCTGCTAAACATCATGCCATGCAAAGGTCCATCCCCTCAGCAAGGAATTGTCTCGTCAACAGTGCTCGGGCTGAGAGACCTTGCTCTACAGCAATATAAAAAAAAATTCCCTGCTCTCATGGAGCTTACATTCTAGAATAAATACTACGTTACATATTTGGGTGAGTACTTTCTCCTTGTGCAACAGTTTATCACCAACACCTAAACAAGAGTCTAGGACACAAGATGAATTTAAATAAATACATGTTGCATGAATGAATGAAAAAGACACAGCCTTCTTCAACCCAAGTAGGAAGTTATTAAGTGACAGAATGCAATACTCTTCAAGACAGACACGATTCTCCCACCCCCATATGAAATCAGTATGCTTACAGCTCAGAGAAGGGAGATAACTCATCTCTGGATACCACAGTCTGGACCTTTACTTTTGCCCTTCTTGGCAGTGATGACATCTGGGAGAAATAGAACATGAAATCAGCATGATTTGAATCACTTGAATGACTGGTCACTTATTTTGTCTATAAAATTCAAAGATAAACTCCAACAGCTCTGCTACTAGAAAATGCATCCACCCACCCCCCAAAAAGCATTGTTCACATGCCCAAACACTGGTTTCCCCTACCATGTGGCTGCCAACTGTAAAAGCAGCTAAGAGCCTTCCAATGGCTTCAAAAGCCTGATGAGTGTAGGCCATCTTTGGAAAACCATAAGCTCCTATAGGGTGACAATTCTTAGTTTTTTTTAGAATTACATGCTTAAGTGTACTGCAAGTGTTATTCGCTGGCTTATCAGACAGAAAATTATAAAGTTCTTTATTAAACTAGATTTCAAAGATAAATATTTTCCCTCTTCTGTATATGCTTACAGTGTAGAAGCCTATCTACAAAGTTGACAGTCAAATTAAAGATGCTGATTGACTGAATAAGCAACCAGGTTACTCCTAAAACAAGATAACCTATTCCCTTATAATAAAAGTTTAGAATATTTAAATAAAATAATCACTAATGCACCTAGAAAATATTTACCAAATTCAAAGAGCCGGCTGTAAAAAATATAAAGGCAAATAACCAGAGACATTATATAATAAATAAAGTACAAAAATATATTCCACAGTGACCAATGATTCAGAATCTACAAAGTAAAACTACAAAAGTACTACAAAAAAATAAGACTCTTTTCATAATTCTGAGCAGAGGTAGGGGAAGAAAGGTTTTCCTGGGCAAGACTCAAAATTCCAAAAGCCAAAAAGATAGATGAACAGATTTCACTACATAAAAATTAAAATCCCAAGTCAGCAGAGAGAGCATTTCAGTACCAAACCAATATATTTTGCAGTATCCTCACAAAAACCAATGAGAACAGTATCTGATACCTTGGAACTAAGGGTGAAGGGAGTAAGGGTTGGCTTTAAGATGTCTGAGACAAAGGAATAGCTCTAGATGTCTTACTCCACTTCAAGCTCTTAAGCAACTTCCCAAGGAAAAAGTCCGGATGGTTATTCTCTAGAGAAGGCAAAACAAAGTCTCTAGATTAGAGGACACCTAGCAGATGGTGGGCATGGGAACATTACAGACTGAATGCCCAGGCAGAGACCCCCCTCTCAGTCCTCTTCCACTAAGCTCCCAAAAAGCTGCTGGTAAGATCCTTACCCTCCAGGGAGGAGAATGAGAAGGCTCTTCGCTGGAGAATATAACCAGCCCAAGAATAAAAACCTGAAGGTGGCAAGCTCCCCAACAAATAACCTAAACAGATCTCTACTCCCACCACCCAATTCTATAATATACATGAACTCAGAAATTCTCATACAGACCATCATGCACCAATTCTAACTCCACATTTCAGCCTTAACAGCAATGTTTAAAATAGGAAGAGAAACCAGGGGTAGTGTCTTAATACCATTTTACAGCCTTGCCAGGCTCATAAAATTCTGATTAACCATTAAGGAAGAGTTCCCTGAAACAAATATTTTCAAATGCCCCTTTATTAGGCACCCTGAAGGCAATGTTCCATTGAAAGGAGAATAAGATGTAAACTTGTCTTCTGACAAGTAGAAAAATATGAATTTGAAGATGGAGACTATGCATTAACACACAGGCCAATTTCAGACAAATCAGTTTTAGGAATAGTATATACAGAAGCTAAGGACCTAGAAATGTTTTCTAAAAAACTATACTAGGTATACTTCCAGGGATATACATACTCCAGTTTAAAGACCAGTTTCGTGGGAACTATCTTTCCATTTCTACTCCTCCCATGTTCCCTTCCTTAATATCAAAGTATTTGTTAAATCACCCAAAATTCCACCCATTTCCATGGTTTAAATACCTGTATCACCACTTATTAACAACCTTAATATCTCCATCCCAAATCCTGCCTGAGATTCAGATTTATGCAATAAACTGCCTGTCTGTAATCTATGTAGATCACTTATAGTTACCTAAGATTTAACACATCCACAACGGAACTCTTGGTAACCATTCCTTGCCCTAAAACCTGTTCCTATCCCTGACTTCCCCATCTCAGTAAATGATACCACCATCTCTCTTAAGATGGATGGTTCTTTGCTAAGATAGAACGTTGAGAAAATTTTAATCGTTTGATTGAACTATAACTGACATACAATAAACTATACGTTTAAGGTGTACAAAACTGCTAAATTTTGACATATGTATACATATCACCACAATCAAGATCCTGAACACATCCACCATTCTCCAAGGTTTCATTTCCTAAGCCAAAGCCTTGCAAATCTTGTTTCTTTCCCCTCCCATTACCAATTAGTAAGTCACATTAATTCTTCCTCCAAAATACATCTTAAATCTCTGTGATCTCCAGTGAGTCTTAAATCCCCAACATCTCTTACCTGGACTACAGTAATAGCCTCTTAACTGGTCTCCCTGCTCCCACTCTTGCCCACACAACACATCCTCCACTTATTAATCCAAAAGATCATTTGAAAAATGCCTAAAAACCATTCAATGACTTCCCAATCCATCCTCCACCCAGAATCAAATCATATTTTTTACCATAGCCTTCTAAAACGCCCTGCAGGCCTAACCCACCTCTTTCAAATCACATTTGCCCCTGGCTGAAGCTCCTCAGCCACAGTCATTCTTTCAGTCCCTGTAACAAGCATGATTCTTTTCCACCTCAGGTTCATTCTGACTGGAGCACTATTCCCCCTCCTCGATAGGCTGGCTCCTTCTCATCTCTCAGAGCTCATTATTGTAGGGCTAAAATGGGTTTCCCAAATACAATACTACTATAGGATCCTACTTACTTCCTTTATACAGTAATATATAACAATCTATAATTATCCTGTTTATGGTCTGCATCCCCCACGTTTATTTCATGGTAGTAAACACCATGAACAAAGGAACTGTATTTGCCTTATTCACTTCTGCATCACAAAGGCCTGACACTTAATAGCTGCTTTATAACTAGTTATTAAATGAACATAAGATATACAAAAATGATCTCTATAAAGGAATATACATTTTTCCCATCACTATTAGGTTACATCACGCATGGCACTCATTGCTTTCTTGAAAAAGTAATGATACATAAGAACATCCCTATTCTTAGTAAGTTGAGGTTTTCCCTCTTTCCAAGCTGTCTTATCTCTATGGGCACATGAGCATATTCAAAATCAATAACTTGGAGGTTGCTGTGATGTTACCAAGGGAGGAGGCACTCAACTAGGGTGAGTGAAAATCAGGGTGACAGAGAAAACTGCACACACACAAACATTAAATTAAAAGTAGAAAAAATACAGCTAGAATATTTAAAGTACAGCAGAGGGTAAAACTTTTATTTAAAAGGCATTTAAGTAAGTTTTCCTGAGTGTACCAACAAAAGTGCTTGGAATGTCAGTACAGACCGCTAAGTAATAAAAACGAAATGTTAAGAGCTGGAAAGAGCCTCTGAAATCAGATAGTCCCGCTATTTTCTTTCACGAATTAGAAGCCAGAGCTCCAGTGAGGTGAAATGGTTTAAAGAGCTGTGCGGCAGAGGAAGGGCTAGAAACCAGAGCCCCAAATACGACGACTAGGTTTGCTTCCCATTCCACATACATTATATTAATAACGTGCTGTCTTGCGGGAGGCTCGAGTAAAGTTGCCTAGACGGTTCCCATTCATTCCCTTCCTCAACAGTGTTTCAGCGCCTCCTATACGGCAGGCACACTGCAGACGATGAGCTGTGATCTGATAGTGAAAAAGGTGCTTCCTCCCCTATCTCCGACGATCTAAGATACAACAATCTAAGTTTGCCTGGGCTTTCCCATGTCTGCCCTAAACTATAAGAGCTGCAATTTGGCTGGTGACACACGCGGCAGATGGGAGGGGTTTTCCGAGTGTAGGTTGGAAGCACAGACCGCAGACAGTAAAATGTAATGAAATGTCTCTTTTAAAAGTGATGTTATTTCCCAAATGAACGCTCTGAACTTTTTTAATTGTCCCCAAAACACCGGAGCCCAGGCGCCGGGCTCACGCGAGCCGCCGGAAGACCGCCCAGGCGGACGGACGCTCAGCTCACCTTCCCGCCTGGCGTGTCTGGAGGCCCGGGATTCCGTGTGCATCAGAGCTCATTATTGTAGGGCTAAAATGGGTTTCCCAAATACAATACTACTATAGGATCCTACTTACTTCCTTTATACAGTAATATATAACAATCTATAATTATCCTGTTTATGGTCTGCATCCCCCACGTTTATTTCATGGTAGTAAACACCATGAACAAAGGAACTGTATTTGCCTTATTCACTTCTGCATCACAAAGGCCTGACACTTAATAGCTGCTTTATAACTAGTTATTAAATGAACATAAGATATACAAAAATGATCTCTATAAAGGAATATACATTTTTCCCATCACTATTAGGTTACATCACGCATGGCACTCATTGCTTTCTTGAAAAAGTAATGATACATAAGAACATCCCTATTCTTAGTAAGTTGAGGTTTTCCCTCTTTCCAAGCTGTCTTATCTCTATGGGCACATGAGCATATTCAAAATCAATAACTTGGAGGTTGCTGTGATGTTACCAAGGGAGGAGGCACTCAACTAGGGTGAGTGAAAATCAGGGTGACAGAGAAAACTGCACACACACAAACATTAAATTAAAAGTAGAAAAAATACAGCTAGAATATTTAAAGTACAGCAGAGGGTAAAACTTTTATTTAAAAGGCATTTAAGTAAGTTTTCCTGAGTGTACCAACAAAAGTGCTTGGAATGTCAGTACAGACCGCTAAGTAATAAAAACGAAATGTTAAGAGCTGGAAAGAGCCTCTGAAATCAGATAGTCCCGCTATTTTCTTTCACGAATTAGAAGCCAGAGCTCCAGTGAGGTGAAATGGTTTAAAGAGCTGTGCGGCAGAGGAAGGGCTAGAAACCAGAGCCCCAAATACGACGACTAGGTTTGCTTCCCATTCCACATACATTATATTAATAACGTGCTGTCTTGCGGGAGGCTCGAGTAAAGTTGCCTAGACGGTTCCCATTCATTCCCTTCCTCAACAGTGTTTCAGCGCCTCCTATACGGCAGGCACACTGCAGACGATGAGCTGTGATCTGATAGTGAAAAAGGTGCTTCCTCCCCTATCTCCGACGATCTAAGATACAACAATCTAAGTTTGCCTGGGCTTTCCCATGTCTGCCCTAAACTATAAGAGCTGCAATTTGGCTGGTGACACACGCGGCAGATGGGAGGGGTTTTCCGAGTGTAGGTTGGAAGCACAGACCGCAGACAGTAAAATGTAATGAAATGTCTCTTTTAAAAGTGATGTTATTTCCCAAATGAACGCTCTGAACTTTTTTAATTGTCCCCAAAACACCGGAGCCCAGGCGCCGGGCTCACGCGAGCCGCCGGAAGACCGCCCAGGCGGACGGACGCTCAGCTCACCTTCCCGCCTGGCGTGTCTGGAGGCCCGGGATTCCGTGTGCATGTGACCGCGTCTTCCGGTTCCCGCCGGAAGTTTTTCAAACGCCGGAAGTCCTGCCTCTCTTCTCCTTGACTCGCGTCCAAGGCGCTGAGCTACTGGAACAAGGTGGAGCCGAGCTGGGCGGAGGTAGCTCGAAGAGCAAGGATCAAGGGGGAACGCCGGAGTAGGGCCCGGCTCTAGGGCTGGGGGCGGAGCTCTGTCTACAGAATGGTGGAGGCGGGACCAGAGTTGCTGCTAACGCGGATTAGCACCCCCGTCTTCTTTCCTTCTCTTAACCTGCCTTAACTCTGTTCTGACTCTCCTATTTTAATTTCAGTCAAAGAAGTGACTTTCCATTGCGTTATTTGTAGTTTGTAGTAGAAAATGAAAACAAGCTTTATTCTGTCTAAAGTCAAATTCTAAATGTCGTTAACTTCCATGAAAGGGTGTGTTCAGCGTATTTTTAGCGTGTATTATTATTTCCTAAACCCCGATATAAGGGCTTTGCTCCAGTCTTCCGGGAATATCCATATTTGGCCCCTTCTGAAAAGCCCTCACACAGCCCATGACGGCGCACTGTACCTTAGAAGAGTTTAACCCTAGAGTCATCTTTGTCTTTGTTTGGTCTCTCAGGCAGCTTGGTACGCTGTCAAGTATACCGATTTGAAACCTGGTTCTCTCAGGAACTTCCCAGTACACTTGGGCAGATGCCTTTATGTCTTTGAACCTGTTGTCACTGCCTTCCCCCTGCGTTTTACCCCCTGATAAGGTACTCCATACATATCAGGGGTAAATAGGTATTTTCCCCATTCATTGGGGTAAACTGAGGTTTGCCCGGGCTTCCCCATGTCTGCCCCAAGCGCTAGGAACTGCAATTTGATAACACGCGCAAACCTAAATTGAGTGAATTCATTGAGGCAAACCCAGGGCCCAGTTACCTAACCTTCTTGGACAAAAATGGAAAAACCCTGACCCGTTTCGTTTTCATATTCTTGGGAAGTGCTGTGACTTTTAAGTGCTAATAATCTAGTGAGCCCTCCTCTAGATACAGCATTTCTATTTCTCTTACCACAAAACACAAAAGTAGCCCTTACCTTTAATTTTGATGATCCCCAAGTATCTTATCCCATTTCTATCCCCTAAACTCCGCTTTTCTTTCACTAAGCCAAACTTAAAAGCTATGAAGTCCTCGCCAGCAATTCTCTCCCTTTACCTTGAATACATTTTCTCAAAATCAGTTCTCAGTAGGAATGAAAAACATATTTTTAGGTGATGTGTTTTTTACAAGCACGCTAAACTCTAAACTCACAGAAATCGCCAAAAAAAAAAAAGAAAAAATTACATTGTAAAGTTAGAGAAATAAGGCTGTTAGTTTGGATAAGAATTCAGCAGATCAGAAGCCATGGATTTGTTTTTAGAAGACTCTAAACAACATGCTAATGACTTATTTGCACGAACTTTGAGTACTGAAGAGCCCAGCAAGCTATTGAAATGATCTGTGAGTGGGCCTTGCTGCAGATTCACCCAAAGTCAATCTAAATCATATTGGATAATTTTTGTGACGGGGAGGAAAATAAGACTCCTAAAATTTAGTATGTCTGTTCTTCTATATCTAAGATCTTTTGTCTGTAAGACTCACTTACTGAGATTGTTTTAGAGTTTTTTTTTCTTTCTTTATTTGTAGTCTTATGTTGCCTTTTGCAGTGGTTCCAGAAGGTCTGGAACTGTCTGCTACAATCAGCAGTCTGCTCCACAATTTCTAGTTCTGAAGGAATAATAGAGAACACTTTTCAGTCCAGGATTATGGGAAGGAAAATCAGGTCATAAAAATCAACAATAATAATTTATTTTTATCTTTCACGTATTTTTTATGTCAAATTGTGCTACGCAGGTTTAAGGTAGAGGGTAATACAGGTCAAAGTGAACCAATATTCTACAAAATCTTTTGACCTAATTCCTGCCCTAGAGGAATTCACAAACAAGACTGAGAACTAGATATAGTCACAAGAGACAGAGACCCATACAAGACAGTCTAGATTCAAGGTTTAGGTTGTGCATGGTAGTAGCCACACTACACAGTGAGGACTAGAGAAGGGATTGACCACTACAGTGTTTGACCTTGACTACCCTCTCTCCCAGTACAGGGATATTTGCCTTACAACTGGAAAAGAAAGAAAGTTACTAAACCATAAGGAAATAACCTGGTAATGTTTTAGACTTAGGACATCTGGGAAAAATAAAACTTGGGTCAGGATCCTCTAAAATTAATGTAGGTGGTGGCCTGTTCCACAGGCAAGTAAGACTGTCCAGAAAACATTTCCCTTGAAATTTTGCAAGAGAGGCACTCCTACTAAAAGCGTAAAGGGAAATTTGTAATCAGAGTATAAACCAGGCCCTAGTATAAATACTGCCTTTTTCCTCTAGGACTTTGTCCAATTTATTGTTTACCTTTGAATCGCACATGCTGAATTCCAAGAAATTCATGGGTTTAGCCTAGAATAACCTGGATGCCCACCTGAGATATGCAGTAGGATTTGGGAGTAGTGAAAACATGTTTTGCATTTGCTTGGAGGTTTGTTCTTTTATTGCTCCAAAGCATACTGTTCTTCCCATGATATTCATTGGTTTGGTATCATTTGTATATTATTGCTCATGTTCTCAAGTCCTTTCCCTTCTATCTCCCCAGGAAGATAATAATAGTAATAATTTATATTCATTGGTCATCTACCATTTGCCAGGCACTACGTTAAAGCTTTTACATGTATTTGTGTATTTATCAGCTCATTGAGATGTTGCTATTATCTTCTTTTTATAAATGAGAAGACCAAAGTATAGAGAAGTTAAATAACTCATCCAAAGTCACATCAGCTATTAAACTGCCAATCCCAGATTTAAACCCAGTTCTCCTGAAGACATCTACATACTACCAACTTGAAGCAAAGATCTTTTCTTTCTCCTCTATGGTGGTCAATCCTAGACTTTGAATCCTTAATATTCCTAGGAACTACTGAATCTCTAAATATGGTAAATAAAGTACTGTCTACCTACCAAAAACATAGCAAGGCCATTCCCCCTACTGACTTCAAAATAAGTTCCACTGGAACAAAAATTCTTAATATAGATGCAACTGTTTGCACTGTATTTTGCGCTCACTGAATTGTAAGATACTTGGATCTAAGTCTTGGAACTGAGTATCAGTAATTTTGGTCTCCCCTTCTCCAGCTTCTCCGTCTACCCACACAGTACCTAACAATGCTTGACAAATAATAGGTACTCAGTAAAACAGGAGACTAACTTCTGGACCAAAGAATGTGCCTGGAATAAAGAAAAATCCTTCCTTGTCCTAGAAAAGTAATCTAAAGCTCCTGCCTCACAGAAGGTGGGTTACCACTTAATGACTCAAACATTTACCTCCTTAGAGTCAATCACCTAGCAAAGGCAAAGGAGTCTCTCTCAGATTAGAGAATGCCTAAACTGAAACTGAGTCTTATTTCATAAATTTGCAGATTAGCCCTGCCCATCCACTTTCCCACTGTCAGAAGCTCTCATTCCATTCCTAAATAGTGAAACTTGCTGCCTTCAATGAGCTTCTCTCAGTAGTTCAGTCAGGAACTTAGAGATTTCCTGCAAAATTAAAGAGATTGGTAAACA